GGTGGCGCGTTTTTGCCTCGAGGCCGAGCCTATTACGCTGAAGCACCTGGAGCAGGACGGAACTTACGAAAACGGCGGTGTTCTCGCTTGCTATCCATCGTTGAAGACATCGAAAAATGCGCTGAGAATTCTTATCATCTAGGATGGATTGCGAGGCTGAGGTTGCTGCATGCTCGGCGGGTAGAGCATCGACAATTCAATAGTGCTGCAGGACGGTTCCATTCCTTCGCGGTCACTGTTTTCGTGGTGATAAGTAATTACCGATGGAACTGGTCTGATGTTTTGGTTTACAGTTGATGTAGTCTTCTTTGTAATGGGCGATGCATACTCTCCGTGTTAATGAAGAGGTGTCTCAGTAATGATCGATGACTAGAGAACGCATTGGCAGCGAAACGATAGCGCCACGGCATTGAATGGCTCAGTGGCCCAGTCACTGATCCTGAGAGTTTTTTATTTTATATCGATATTGAAGGGGCAATTTCTTCGAATGTAAGAACCTCAGCCATGGACACCTACGATTGAGGGGTTGTATTAATGCACGGGATACCAGAACGCACTATAGGAAAAGATGACAATATGTGTAAACGAGTTACCTCGTTTGTGATTACTGAGCCGTTGTGCTTCCATCTGAGTTTTGTCAACGACCATCGCCACCATACATAGACATGCCCATCGTTCTCTCCAATCACAGCCTGTGTGTACCAAAGCGACCTGGATAACTTCTCTCTTCTTTTACATTATCGCTTGGCAGTAAAGACCTGGCTTATTTACTATATCTGATTTTATAGTATTGGTCCTGGTTTGACATTAATTGCGAAAGTGGGAGAGAGCAGAGAGCAAAGAAGAATAAGCGAATCTTCTTTCATGAATATTTTAGCTATATAAATACGGCAGAGAACCATCTTTGTGCAATAAAGTTAGGTACCTATGTTGAACTTGTTGACGAGCAATGTGAGCCAAAACTGACTTGATGGAAAATATATAGATGATACTTATAGAAAAATCTCACCTCAAGCCAGTAAGGCGCTGGATATCTAGATATTATTGTTATTGCCGTGAAGAACTTTGAGCTATAAATAAACTAGCAAGTAATGATATTGCTAGTTACTCCAAGAACTGCAGCTATTAGCTAGTTACCTTGCCTAAATAGTTTTGAGCTCGTCACTTTTTATTAATAGTATATTATGCTCGCTTAGTGTTGGCCGACTGCTGACGAAAGCGCCACGGTGTAAGCTTTGATATTTGTTAAGACTTGAAGCCAGAGTTGGAGAATTCTATTATCCAAGACTCTCATAAATTGGTCTGTTGGCTTGATCAAATGAGGTACCGCAGACACTGGCGTCCGATGGAGCGGCTCCTTGCATAGTTAAGTTTTCTTTTCCTTTTGCAACTTGGCCGTATCTATTTCATTGTGGATAGTTATTTAGCTACACTGTGGCGATCATGTCAAACACGTAGTTGTCTGCTGACTTTGTATAGCATTCGTTTCTTCTTTTCGCGTCTCATAATTTAAAGTATCTTCTTACTACACAATAAGAGACATAAGATTTTCATTACTATAGGGCAAGAGTGCCAAAGGTTTACAATTAAAAGGATTAAAGAACAAATAAAATAGAACACATGGTTAACATTTTATTTCTTAGTAACCTATTGATGGTATCTGGCTGTATGTAATCTCTTATCGGAGGGTTGTACCCTAGACTCATCATCACCAAGCCACGACCGATGTGGGCAGTGGGGAGTCAAGACCAATAATGATCCCTGTCGCAACTCAAGGTCCTAGGATCTAGATCCGATCCAATCTCAGATTCCATCTCTGGTGGCTCCACCCGACTCCGTAGCTGACATCTCCGACGCGACGTCACGGATACAACAACAACAACAAATCGTCAACAAATCGTGGTTGCTTTGATCGATGCCATCATCTTATCTCTCAATTTTGATTACTACATTCATTGAGAAGTCGTTCAGGTTATGGAGCATTCCTTGCAAACAAGCAGCTTGATCTTTTGATTGGCCGATGTTGACCTAAGCGTTGTGCTGTATAATATGGTTTCGCCCACTGTCGATGGCAGGACTTTTTGAGATTGGACCCGGTAGAGGGCCTGATTTCCGGCGCGGGAATGGGGGCCAAGATGCCTTCTGCTGGCGACAAGATGCGCAACCAACTCAAAAGTTTTGCCGACTATGACCCTGAGGGTGACCAAGACCCGGAGGAGAAGAGACAGCAAAAAGCCGCCTGCGCATTTAGCGTCTTACCCCACCCTACACCAGCGGTTAAATTCTATGCCACCTAATGGTTATTCAGTAGCATGGCCAATTGAAGGGTGTCGCAAAGTTTGACGAGAACGGCGCCGGTACCGGGAGTGACTGCGTGTGTCTTGGTATAACCTTCACTTGTCTACTGGTCTAGTTTGCTAACCAACCAATGTCTACCACGTATATTTATCTTTTTGTTATCACTATAGCTGCTAAAGATGATTGATGCAGCGCGTCCTCCAGTGAACGGGTTTCATTGCTAAGCGCCAGCAGCAAGCCCAAAGTCAAAAAAGCAAAAATGGCTTGGGCTAGAGGCTCTAGCGCCGGGGGCGGATCGGAATCGCACATTCCTGGCGAGATCGAGCCAATCTTATTGGATCTTTGTGACACCTTATACGAAGTGGTTGTGAGGGATTTCCAAGTTCGTCTAGCAAGAATGCAAGTATGCCCAAATCAGCCATTGATATAGCATGAATCCACAAAAGATTCGCAGCAGGCACATTTGTATCCATAATATGCATGCAATGTGATAAGTGGGTATCACAAACGTGTCGATGGAGATCACATCCGAGATCAGATTACCGCCTACTTGTCTTTGTACCGTCAAGAAACGCCGTTACATCTTGCATCTACTTCAATACACAGTAGTCCGATTCACATTGTGCGAGGTAATATTATCTTCAAAAATGGATCCAGCGGGGCTTGCCGTTGGTATCACATCCTTGGCATTCGATCTATTCGACAATTCCGTCAAACGTAAGTTTCTGAGTTTGTTGCTATCGCTGCTTCCGACCACTGACAGATGTGAAGTCTTCAAGTTCTTTTCTGCTATAGTTGACATGCCTAAGGAGTATGAACAATATCGCTTACAGCTAATGATTGAATACAACCGCCTGCTGGCCTGGGGCGACGCGATTGGTTTGATCGATGTACCCCAAGCGTCGCACGTGGCCACTAATCTGGGGACGAATGCAATAGAGCTCTGCGGTATCATTTCACGTATAGGGTGGCTTCTTGGAGAGTTTCGGGATATGAATGCCCGTTGGGAAAGTGAGTTGACACAAACTCAAGAATACAGCCAAGTGGTTGGAGATAAGGATGAGTCGAGTATGGATATAGTCAAGCAGGTTTCGAGCTTGGCGACTGCTTACGAGAAGAATAAGAGTACACGTCAACAAGCAAAAGGAGTTACTCATATCAGAAAGTGGATGTCACGCAAGGCCGAGAACGCAAAAGAAATCGTCACAAATCCTCTCCGCGTCCGTTGGGTGATGATGGATAAAGCCGCTTTCAAAGGATTACTCGAAGATCTACACTTTCTCACCAATCGAATGCATGAGCTCACTGTTGACCATCGGCAAAGCCGTATACAGGAAATAACAGCCAAGACTTATCGCGAGATGGTAGTAGCAAGAAACAGCATCAACGAGTTGAAAACTTTGCTGGAGGCAGTTACTGAGTTACTCAATATCAAGAAGAGGAACACCGAGTGGGAAGCACGCAATGATAACACCGAGATGCTTCGAGATATCTTGCGGTTAAAAGAAATCAACAGTATTTCCAACCAGCTTGTTACCAGGGCCCACAGTGGAGGATACTTGGATATCGAGCGGGAGATCAAGGACCTGATTGATGTGCAGCGATACGATAACTTGACTGCGAGTCAAATTCTGACGTATTTGAAGGATGAGGATATGAAAGAGGCTACAGTACCGTTGAGGCCGCGAGGGGTTCTGCAACAAAATGGAACAGCCGTTCAGATTTGGATAGAGTGGAAGGTGTTTGACAACCAAGATGAGACGATTCGCCTGGAATCTAAGTTAAGAACCATGACTCTTGCACAGATGCTGCACATGGATAAGCCGCGCCACCTCTACTCACCACTCTGCGTTGGGTACGTTGACGAAAGTGAGACTAATCATCGCATTGGATGGATATTTAAGATGGCCCACGGGGCCAGTGCAAACACGACACTACGGTCCCTTCACAGCATGTTGGGCCAGTGCCAATACAAACCGGTCCTTACTCAGCGAATCTCCCTTGCCTGGAGACTCGCGTCCTCACTCTCGTACATGCACACAACAAACTGGTTACACAAGGGCATCCATAGTGGTAATGTCAGCTTCTCCTTTGAAGAAGAACAATTCGATGCTGAGTCTCCTATCTTGTCGGGATTTGAATATTCGCGTCCACAAAGCAACAGAACAACGACACGCAGCCTCGAGCCTAAGTGGGATATCTACCGCTGGCCGCAAACCCAGAATGAGGTACCAAAAACCACGAACTCTCGAAAGACATATGATATATATAGCCTAGGTCTCGTCCTGCTCGAAATTGCCCATTGGAAGCCCTTAAACGAGATGATGTGCTTAAAGAAATGGCCCATCCCCTCCGCTCAAGACGTCAAAGTACGTGGCTGGCTCTTAGGAGAGGATGCTCGGCCACCGTTCAAGAAATCAAATCCCCTATCGGAGCTGCGGGATATTGTTGGGGACAAGTATTGGAATGCGACGCGCCGCTGTCTGGTAGCTCATGGAGAATTGGGTTTGGGAGTGGAGGAGAACTTTGACAAGGCCAAGGGCTTAGAATATGACCTCCAGCTCCAGAACAATTTTACTGATCTGGTAGTTGAAGAACTTAAGAGTATTATGATCTGATGGCCTTGAACACAGAGATTTGTGGTTCGTTGGGAAGATATTGTCGTATTTGTAGAGAAGCAACACGGAATCTGCATCTGAATTTTATGCGTCGTCTATCTGATGGTTTTCTAGTATATCAATTATTTCCTCCAGCTTTCTTCTCTCTGCAAAGTCTATTGCAACGTTTCCATCGAGGTCTTCGGCATCAAGATCGGCCCCGGCGTCAAGTAGCATCTTGACTATATCGCTGTTGTCTTGTCCCGCAGCTCCATGAAGTGCAGTGTGATCATTCTCATCTCTAGCGTTGACATCAGCTCCCTTCTGTAGTAGAAACTTGACCACGTCCTCGGACCCGTTTCGGGCAGCACATTGCAATGCCGTTTGACCAGTCGGATTCGGAGTGTCGACATCTACCCCATGTTCCAGGAGCAAGCCCACGATATTCACGGAACCGTTCTCCGCTGCGTAATGGATTGTATTCAAGGTGTTCGGGTCGGCTCCTTGCTTCAGTGCGCGTTTAACCTCGTCCTCAGAACGCGCTTTGCAAGCTTTGACTAGCTTGTCGTCTTCAGTAAGGACCAAGTCTGCAGTACACGTGCAATGAACAGGTTCGTCCGAAACCAGAAGCTTCGATAATTCTGAAGAGATATGCCCAGCTTTAGGACGCTTGGCTCGGTCTGGATCAAGCATTCTTTGACAGAGCGACACAATATCGTTCTGCCAGCCTGTCAACTGAAGGCTCTCCATCATCCACTTGTGGACTTGATCAATATGCTTGGCGTATGATGATCCCTCCTCAGAAGATGACTTCAAGATCACCTGGAGCTTTTTCAGGCTTGCGGGCTGAGCTTGAGATAGAAGCATTTCAAGAAAGACAGCTCCTAGAGAGAAGATGTCTGCAGATCGGCCACGCGTACTCCCGTTCTCAACTTCCGGAGCACAGTATTCCTTCGTTCTTCCAGGGCGCCGGTTTTGATAAGTGGTTGGTATAGTCTTACCTAACCCCATTAGAGACAGACCAAAGTCAGCAAGAAGAACCTTGTCGCCTTTTAGCAAAATATTTGAGGGCTTGATATCTCGGTGACGTATACCAGAGCCGTGTATGTGGCATATCACATTAATAAGGCAGCCAAACCATTGAAGTCTTGGTTGGCTCCCAGGCTTGAGAAAGTCATCCAGATTGGCGTCGGCACGCTCCATCACGACAGAAAATATAATCCGATCAGCCTTTTCCTCCACGAAATACGTGTGAACCAGCTCGACGACATGGTGATGTTTGGCAAAATGGAGGATTTTTGCTTCTTGCGCTAATTTGCGTTTTTTCGCAAGTTGTGAGGGCCCAACCTCGGCTTGGTGATCAATGATTGTTTTTCGAACGCATCTGAGGCCATTGAAACGACCGAGGGTTCCTTTGACCCTTTCAACGTTTGTATCAATTAGTGGTGAATTCCCATCCGGGGTAAATGGGATCTCGGAGTCTTTACTGTAAGCCCGAGGCCAGAAAGAGTCATTGTCACTTTCGTGACAGGAGTTATGCATTTGCTAGGATCTTGGAGTACTGCTTCCAGATCTGCCAGCTGCGGCAAGGATCATGCCAAGATCGGCTTAATTATGTTCCGAGTAATTTTCTCTAAATCCAGTTAGTATATCTAAATTAAATCACGCAACTAAGACATTGAATTGGCATTGTCGTCAGTAATAGGTTAGTATCAAGCATGTCGGGAAATCTACGGCCCAGATCAGCGTGACCGTGCTTATATCAGCTCGATTCATCTTATCGGATGTGAGCCACTAGGCACCAATTGGCCTTAGCCATCATTCCATCTTGGCTACGGGAATATTATTCGATCCCTGAGATACCCTGAATGGATCCGAAAGCCTACTTCTTCTAAACCAACCGCCGAGCTACAAAGATTAATGCCCCAGACCCCTCTCCGAGCCGCATTCATTTGCGGTCCTCAATGACAAGTGCGATAAGATCGAGTAATTCAGGCCATTGAGAGATGGAACAACTAGAGGGATCTAGCTCATTGGCCCCTGTCAATGTCGACCAACCTTGGCACGATATGACGGGTGCGAACTCACGAGACGGCACGTCACGACAGCTCAGTGCAAAGGCGGCGCCGTACAAGCATCTTTTCGTCTATACAAGTGTGACATGTCCTGCATAGACTAAAAGCTGCACGTACTGTTTCGCCTTCCTAGTGGCCTGCCAATGGTGAGAGCTGTCTACGAGGGCCATAGCAATGTCGGGGTAGAGAGTGTGCTGGAACATCTAGCCCAGGTTGTCATCATCACAACACTGCAAAACGGCATTTTATCTCGACGCATCTATTTGTGTTTCGTTATTCCTGAGTCTATCAAAAATCGATAAACATCCAAATTGGTATCGTCCTTTCCATGCAATGTGATTTGGTGTTGTCCATTGACTCCAAAAACTCCGAGAAATGCAGACCATGCAGCAACAGTCAATTAGGGGAAGGTAGGGACACGCATGACGCCGATGGCGCTCAAGAAGGCACTTCGCTTCTGCTCGACAGTCCAGCCATCTTCGAGCTCGACTCCGACAGCACTGAGAAGGGTTGAGAGACGTGGTTCTGCACAAGATGTTAGAAAGGAACGGTTAGCGATGAGAAGAAGCATACCGGCCAGTGCGTTGACTTCGTTAAAAGTGCAAGGGAAGTCTCGGATAGCAGCGCCATCTTCCTCGACAAGAGGAGTGTAGGGGACGCCCAGTTCGCGGGCGCGAGAGTTCTTGGCGCGGGCCCTGGTGTTCTGAGCAAAGCTCTCGAATTTGACGAATTGTTTGTTCATTTCATTCTCCAGGGTGGTGATGCGTGTATTGATGCGAGTCTCAATGCCATCCATGCGTTTGTTGAGACGAGTCTCGATGTCATCCATGCGTTCCTTGAGACGAGGTTCCATTGCATCCATATGTGCGTTGGTGCCTTGGACCGTGGCAAGGATCTGGCCAAGGGTGGCCTGGTTTAGAGACGGGGTTCGGAAGAGGCTGACTTGGTGCGCTAGACCACAAAGGTGATGAGCCACTCGGCCGTTGCGGTTGTTATGCTTTGGACATGAAGGAGCCGGGTTAACAAAACGCGATTTGGCTGAACCTACTTTACGAAAATCACTTGTGGGATGGAGTCTTTGATTGGCCGGGCAACCAAGACGGTGTCGCGCGAGAAACTCGCGTTTACACGTGACTGCTGCCCCACGGTTGCAGCTCAAGTGGCTTGACGCTTGACCGGGTAAACTACGGCCCAGATGAACATCTTAGCGCGACCGCCCTATCTTAAGATCACCTTGCTGCTGCTCCAAGTTAAGAGTTTTTAAAACCTCTTTCTCAAGCTCACTTTAGCGTGCAATTAACTCGTCATTACTTACATACAAGCTTGATGATTTTTATTATAGTTGGTCTTAATTTACTATGAACCTTGATCAATTTTACAAATTTTAGCTAAGGCATCAGACATATCGGGCTTGGACTTGCAGTGTAACACGGGATATTCGCTGGTCTCCCGAGCTCACAACCTCACTTCCTCTGACTCCAGTATTCTCTCCATGATATTCTGAGGAGCTAAATTGCTGCATCAACAGCTTCCTGTTTCTTTCTTTCGACTCTTTGCTGTCAGCTTATGATGTTCGTGAACAGAAATGTAGGATGTACCCAGTTCAAAAAATCGCTTCTCCTGCAGCTTTCGGTACGTCATGGCCTTTGTCTTCAAGTAATGTAGACTAACCACTACCGTGTGACTGATGCTGGCTGAATATTAGTGCTAAGATGATAGATATCGATGCAATGTCTTACAAGAGGAAGAATACTCCTACGAAAGCTAAGCCAGCTCAAGGGACTATTACAAACAGCTTTCTTATCGCAGGTTTCATGCAGGCCTTCCTCTCTTGTGAGACAAGCTCCACATTCGTGACCTGCGAATTGCCTGTCGTCTTGAGTGCCTGCAGGTCCGTCTTTGTCCAAACTGGGCAGGCTTCCGACATTGCTCCCTTCTCATTACTGTAGGTAGATTACAAGGTCATATACCTCGCCGATTATGAAGGGTTTGAACCTATATTCTTTGGTGTTTGTCGTGGCTTGAGAAGCTTGGAGAACAATTCCATTAGCGACTATCAGCTACAGAAGGCAAAGTAGACAGAATGGAGTCCAACGTCAAGCTAAGCGAGCTGAATACTTGCCAAACCAGCAGACCTTTCTTTGGATATGAATGGGCTATTGTTTGGTAGGCCGTATGTATAGTCCTCGAGATCCTCCAGTCACTACCAGTTTAAATCCGAGGCGCCAGACGAGAATTGGTCAAGAATGGGTGGTATTCAGAGCCATTCTGCGTCAGAGATGTAATATGAGAGATGCTATGTACTCTAGCTGTACTTGCTTTTGAGCCCGAGACTTCTCAGCGTTCAATGATCATCCCAAAAACAGACATTGTGGTGATGCAACCTCAGCAGCAATTTCTGCGAAAAGCAATTTGCAAAGCATTGAGAAGTGCAGGTCTTCCTAACCACAAGATCCTCAAGTGTCAACTATAAATGAAAATTGCCATATTTATGCAAATTGATAATTACATAAGGTAAAAAGACCTCCCAACTCATCACAAAACAGCATAAGCTATGGCATTGGATTGGGAAAGGCCACTTTGGCTAACACCATATCATTTCTTGGACCAGAAAGTATATTTTCATCTATTATTTACTGAACATATAGCCAAATATCCCTCTGAGGGCTCAGTTCACCAGCTGAGGGAGCACAGTAGGGAGGCCTTATAGCTATACAGTAATTATTAGGTGGTGGCTAGAGCGATAAGCACCATAGAGGTTCCCAGAGCTTCCTGCCCAAATATTCTACGGAGAAAGTATTGGCTTATCTTTTGTCATTCAAGACAGATGTAAATACTCTGGAAACATGTTCAATACAAATTACGCATTATGAACCATGGCTGAAATCCGTTCCATTAGTAGGGTCCTAGGCTGTGAAGCGGGGCTGCAGACCTGCTGATGGCAGTATCAAGACAACATCGGCCACTTAGACGTGGTGGCGAGTCATATTACCAGCGACGCCGTACCAGTCATCTTTCAGAAAAGGACCACGAGATAAGCTCATTATGCGGAAGCTAGCTTTGTTAACCTTGAAAACAAAACTTGGACCCGGGACGAAGAGAGGAGTCGTGAGGCTCAACCGACCACTCACTGTGCGACATGCCACTCGAATAACATGGTCGAATCGGGCCTTCACCCGTTTCAAACAGTTTTCGGCATAGATAAAGCAATCTCCGTGCCATTCTTGAACTCTAGGAGATGAGAACACTCTCATGAGCACATTAACATAAGGCCGACTACGACATCTGGGAGTTCTCACTCTCCACTGCAAAGTTTCATCGCCAATATACGAGAATGTATCAAACTGAACCTACTAGGTTCACTCTGCTGAGTTAAGCTCTCAGCCATAAGGCAACCCACATTCTTCAGTCACGGCACTACAACTGTTCTAGCGATATCACCAGCAGCTCACTAATGGCCAACAACTCTGTCACATCATAGAATGAAGTCATCAAGGTATTGGATTGTGAGATAGATCCTCTCGATGACTTCTGTGCAATGGAGAGTCGCAAAATGGTGAAGCTCGATTTGCTCAACCAGCCAGGGCCGCAGTGCAAATCTCTCTGGTGGATCTCATTGTCGTATGGAATCTGACCTGAAGCTGTCTTTAGCTACAGCTCAGGTCGAATTACGGTCAATTATATCTCTGTACCTTTAGTCAAAAAGGAAATCATGCAGATCATGTTCAGATAGTGTAAATACTCCGCTAAAGTTGAGATTGTGAATGCTATGCTGGTAGTAAAGTGAATGTGGGAGATGTACTAAAGGTTTCAGCCATTGAGGAGAAAAGAATTGCAGCAAATGAGACAAGATTATGGTAGTTCGCAGTGAGAATCTCTAACCGATCCGTCTTGAAAGACGCAGAAACCATTGGCGAACTCTAAGGAGATTTTGATTCCGTTTACACATTGAGGCTGAACTGAATACTTGTTCTCATGAGATGCACTCGAGGCCTCTTGATGGCTGGTTTTAGGTGATAATCGTCTTGGATCTTCAACCCGGTAATACCTGATCAACCACACATGGGTGACAATTCTATGCTACAAACTCAGTACTGCTTTTAAACCTACTGCTTAATACTGTTAAATATCTGCTCAGTCTGACGAGGCTCTACTGACTATAAGCAGTTATATTACCTACTTGAGACCCTCATGCACCGAATGTCTGAATATAGCTTCAAGTTATCCAAGGCATTCATCCCATTGTCATACTTATAGCACCAGTTCACCCGAGCCTGGTACCCCCCTTTTGGATATTCGAGTCAGGTGACTGAGGATAAGTCTATGATGCGAAGAAAACCGACAGCAGTTCAACTAGCCAGAGTCGAGTTGCTATTAATTCTTCATCCAATCTTTATGAACGTAGTATTGTCTTCTGGGGCATGTCGCGGCTTGGCAAAGAGATTCATCTGCGCTGATTTCCTCTCTACTACTCGAACCATCCGTGGGAGGGACGATGTCACCTAATGAGCCAGGAGAGAGAACCCCTTCAACAATATATGTCCTTACGATTACTCTATTGATTGGGTTGTGATCTTGGGTGCAGACAGGCTCTAGAGTCACTGTGCCAGCTCGACAAAAGTGTGAGGAAGCAGCACCAAAATTGACTTCCGACATATCGCTTCTAATCATTCCATTATTAGAGTAGCTTAACCCATCAGTATACCTTCGCAGCATACAGGGACTACATAGCAGTGCCTTTATGTCATCTCACACAAGCCTCGGCGGGACAATTCGGCTGAGAACTGCATTGGTTTCGTCTCATGGGACTTATTTTGTATCGCAACTAATATTACAGCTCTGCATCACTTTGGAGAACTGAATATCTCACAAACTGACGGTAAATTGGTAGCTTTCTGAGAGCCGCGCCTTCCGATGATTTCAAAATGTCCAAGCCGCCTGTTTGCCCGATGGAATTGTCGATGGCTCATTGTATTTTGATCTCAAATGTTTTAGGAATGAGGACAGTGATATACCTTGTGGTAACTCCTGGGTGAATGGGCTTAATCTTTAGGGCTCGAAATTCGACTTTGAAGGTTGCCAGGAAATGAATGAGGAAACGTCGTAGCTGGTGGCCTCTTGCAGAAGGATTCCGCATCCGGCTTTCAGAGGAACGGAAAGCCGAAGCGTCAGCCAAGTCCCGTATCGCCGGGCAATTAGCAGTATTGCCGCGCATAGTTCGATGCATCCAATGCGAATATATGCGTCGCATTTCCCGCAGATGAAGGTGCAACTGACATAATGGCACGCCGATGTACCGAGAGTCCGCACTCGTGACCTATGGTTCCGGATGTCCCAATGTCGTTTCCTGGCACCGGAGATCCGGATACCACTCGTAATCAGGGGAGCCTTCTTTCCGAGAGTCATGCAATTACCACGGATTATATGTAAACGCTCGGTTGCGAGACCTCCGAAATAAATGTTCTTAGAATATTATATAACCTCTAAAGTAACAGTACTACATTAGTGGGAACGATGGAAGTCACTAACCGCTTCTAGTCGCTCATATCTATTCAAAATGATGTATTTCTAGGACTTACCTACGAGGCATATGTTATGTTTGCTAAATGGCTTGCTCCTGTCAAACTCAGGAGTCTCTCGCTCTGGGATTCCCTGATTCCATATCTTGCTTGCGTATAGCGCCTCCACCGCTCTGGGCCAAAAGTAGAAGGGAACTTTCGATAGATTGCGGGAAGAACCTTTTGAAATCTGGTGGTGACTTTATATCCTCGTAACGATGAAACTTCGCGTGAAGTAGAGAAACTGTGACATGTCTTTCCTATGAAGATATCACGGCTTGAGTGAACTTGAGCTTACCTTCTC